TTTTTTTTTTTTTTAATTTTTTTAATTTTTAAAAATTTTTTAGGGGCGGTCTTGAGCTGTAAAATTCAGAGTAAATTGAACTGTGTTGCAACTTGCAAATATATATTAAGTGGGTTGACTTGAGCTATTTCAATGCTTGAATGCAAAATGCGATTAAGATGAGGAAAAATCATTGCAATAGCTAGTTCAAAAGATTTTTATGGAATACATTTTTCTGCTCAAAGTATGTTCAATTTACAGCTAAAGAACGGAGACAATTTCAATTGATAAAAGCAATGAATTACAAGAAAGAATTATAACACACATATTAATATCTATAAGACTTGAGAAGAAGGCAAGTTAATTACTTATATGTTTACGAGATTTGAAAATATATTTTATTTTTTTTCCCTCGAATACATTCTGCAGGACATAGATTCATTAAAGAAACAGTGAAAATTCACATTAGTGAAGGGTTGAAACATCAAAAGTCATTCATAATGCAAACGAATCTAAGTACTATATACTTTTGATGACAAGAAAATAAAGAGAGATCCATAAAAGAAAGAAAATCAAGAGAGGAAACCTTATCTACAGCCACACGAATGCACTTTATTTCAACAAAAGAAAAATGAAAATTTTGGTTCTCCCTTTGATATTGTTTTATTGTACCCTAGCGAAATGAATTGTCACGTTGAGTTAGAAACATTAGATGGTTATCATAAATTGTTGTCGGTTTTTGTTATATTAATGAAATCTAAATTTTGTAATTTTCCCACAAAGGTCTAAAGGGTCCTATATGGGGGAAGTGACACATGAACTCCATATTTATTTGTCTTCTCAACATGCACATATAGAAAATTCTATCCAGAAACCCTAAAATATAATTAAGCAAATTAGTGAGAAGATGAAAGCTGAAATAATCTACTATGCCATAGACAACGCCTACTATTGTTGATTTTCATATATAATTATATACGTATCATAATAAAGAAGGGTACTCAAATCTAGTGAGGTGTATTAAATCAAAATTCATGGATTATATTCCATGTAGAATAATCCCGGGCCAGTTGTGTGTAGAGTACTTGTAATAATAAATTGAACAGAATAATCTAAGCAGTTTAGCATAATATTTGGATATCAGAAGAATGTCTTAGCAACTAGATTTCTAAAGTCATTTAAAAAAGTGTTTTTTTTTCATGTTTTTCAACATATTCACATATGACAGAGGTATGAATATTAGATTTATGTGTTGTTCCAATTGTTTGCACTAAGGAGGAGAAACTTTAGCTCTTGTGTCATGAACTCTACAAAGGATGATTATGGAATCATATCCCCTCAATAATTCATCTATAGTAGTGGCAAAGCTAAGGTTGTTAGATGCATTATCAAAACATGTGTGGTTGATAATTAATTCACTTATTCTTGGAGATAGCAGAGCAGAGAAATTATTCTTCCTTAATACAAGGAAGGCAGAACCTACCAATAAAGACATGCACTTGACATGATTTCTGAAATTGTGTAAGCTATACATGTCCTATTGGTCGGTTTTGCTATAAAAATTCTCATCTCTAAGGTTAACCCTTATTTCCATACCCTTTAAACCCTTGCAATTAGTAAAGGGGAATATGCTAAGGAGTTTAAAATTTGTAGAAAACAAGCAAAAGTAGAGTCTCAAATCTATCAATATCAAACTAAACCAATGAGAGACAAGATGACCTCAACCCCCTAATATTCTTCATAAAATTCTAGCCTTGACAAAATTATTTGTTAACTCCAAAAGAAAAAGAAAGATAAAAGAGAAAAAATAATGACCTTAAATTCACAGTCTGAATCAAAAAAAAAAAAGAGAAAAAAGTGTGTCATGTATTTTAGAATGATTTTGCCATGTGGGCCTCATCTTCTTCTGCACTATATAATCTCCTCCGTCCATTTCACCCTTGAACTTCTATTTATACGGCCCTTCCCCCTCTTCTTTTTCCTAAGTACTTCACAGTTGCCTTTGTTCATCAAGATCTTCCTCTCTTCCTCTCATTTTCTCATTAACAACAGAAACTTCTCTCTCAAGATCATCAATGGCTTGCTTAGAGTTGTGTAAGGAGGTCAGTGAGAGCTCTTGTTTTCTTCTCCATTGCACAAAACTGAAAACAATCACCTCTCCCCGCATCTCATTCTTCCTAAAACAATCTAGTCTCATCAGATTCATTGACTAAATAATTTATCATTTCCCCCTTTTCTTTTTCTCTTTTCCTGTATTCTAATTTTTTTTATTTACTGGGCAAAATAATGGCAACAGCACACAAGGAAATTATATTATTTTTCTCCCTCGTGCAAAGCCATCTCATATAGATGCATTGGTACATGCAAATACCAATTACTAAATTATTCAACTAACTTAGCTTTATTATATTGGCAGAGGAAGTTCAAAGATGAACAAGAAGAATGCACCCAAGATGGAACTGTTGATTGGAGAGGCCAGCCTGCAATCAAAGCCAAAACTGGACAATGGGTTGCTGGAATCATCATACTCTGTAAGCTCGAAATTTCATATCTATACCGTTCCATTAATTAAGCTCTTGCTTCTTTTTGTATATCAAACTATTGTTTCATCATTCTTTATATTCATATACAGTATGTTTCTACATTGTTGCCATGCCACTCTCCAAAGATCCTATCTGTTTCCCATATTTTACCAAAAAAATTAAAGAGAAAAGCATACACGTTTACATACATCTCATTACTGCTTAGTCCCAACGCATTAAAGAATCATATAAAAATGATGGGAATTTATAGGAATATACGTTGCACCATACATAGTTGTAAGAGGAGAGAAGCTATCAAAGAACAGAGATGAATTGTGGAGTGTTTCAACATAATAGAGATGAAGGTGAGCACAAAACTTGGAGGTGATAACCTAACCAAGTGTTGCATGCATAGGGATTGGAAAGTGCCACCAACATATTTTTAGGCTGTGGGATTTGGATTTTGCTAGGAAAGGAGTAAGCCGAAAACAATCCCACCCACTAAGTTCCATTGCTAAATGACAATAGGAAAACTGAGACGCACATGCAGTACTGCAATCTGAGAGAAAGCATAGACGTACCTGACACGTAATCACCTTGCATGATATTGGTTCTTGCCACGTGGCACCGTCACTCCCTCCCAGATAAGCAACCTTGGCCCTCCACAATCTCTATTGACAGAGCATGACAATGCTACGGGCAGACCAAAATTCTTTGACAGACAATTTTACCCCTCGACGATCTCTATTTCCGTTCTCTTCCTTACCTTCTCCATTCCTCTCGGCAACCCGCCCTGGAAATTTCATTGTGATTTGCTACTGGATTGCAGTTTCTACTATCCTCCAATTGGAACATTGATGTCTAGAACTCAAGCCGAGAAATTCCTCCTTCCGTCTGTTACCAAAACTGAAAAAGCTCCTAAGAATCTTTCGAAACCCCAGTTTCTTCATCCCCCTCGAGACGAACGAAGGGTATGGAGTAACAAAGCGGCCCAGATGTCGGAGAAGGGGAATTCACAGGCGGAGAAGAGAACGGGTTAGGCAGCGGCTCTATTCTCTCTTTTTGTGGGGTTGGCAAAGATAGAATTTGACAATTTTCAAGGCAATATCGTCAATTCGTCGAGTTTTGCTCTGGCAATAGCGTTTCTGTCGCGCTGTAAAATTTTAGTAGGAGAATTTATTTAATAAAAATTTTTAATTATTATTTATATAATATATTAAATTTTTATATAAAATTTATCTTCAAAAAATTAAAAATAAAACCAAAACCACTAAAAATAAAAGATATTTCAGTGTATGGCATATATATATTTTTTTAAATTTCTTTTTTCATTTAAATACTTAAATATAGAAATGAAAAATGCTTTTAACAAGGAAATTGTTAGCATTCATTAGAAGGGCAAGACTTGTTTAATGCATGGAGTGAAGAGACCTCAAGACTAAGATACAGCAAAAGGAATTGCTCTTTTTTATTCTTCTTTTTATTTTTTATTTTTTGAATTTCAGTGGGAGAAGCAACAACAACTTGCTAGTACTCTGTTTTCACTTCCATTTTTTTCTCCCGTTACGTGTTGTACTTTGCCAGCTCTTTTTAGGGAGAGGGTCTATGAATAAGTCATGGTGTAGAAATTGCATGCATACGAATGATGCAAACAAAAAGTGAGGCAATCATTCATGTTAGATCTCTACATCTCCACGAAAACAGAGTATATCTACAAAAATTATTAGTGTTTGATGGCGACAAAAGTTGTTGGATGTCAAACTAATTCAAAACTCTTTGGCTAAATGATGATTGATGCATGCAGTTTTACTATGATGGAAAAAGAGTTGGTATTACCTCTGTTTTATAGTTCTAACTTAACGAATTGACCAGTGAATCAAGGCTTGGCAACCCTGGCATTCTTCGGGGTAGGGGTGAACTTGGTGCTGTTCCTCACCAGGGTGATGCAACAGAACAATGCTGATGCTGCCAACAATGTTAGCAAATGGACTGGAACTGTCTACATCTTCTCCCTCGTCGGCGCCTTTGTCAGTGATTCCTACTGGGGAAGATACAAAACCTGTGCTATCTTTCAGCTCATCTTTGTCATAGTAAGTCCCCTTTCATAACTCTATTGCCATCAACATTAGTCTTACCAGAAAACTGCATTATAATTTTGTGCCTTTGCTTGTATGAATCATCGCAGGGTTTGATGTTACTGTCACTTTCATCATACCTGTTCTTGATCAGACCGAACGGGTGTGGAAATCAGCTTACTCCATGTGGGTCTCATTCAAGCTTGGAGATGGGGTTGTTTTATCTCTCAATCTACTTGGTTGCACTAGGCAATGGAGGGTACCAACCCAACATTGCTACATTGGGGGCTGATCAGTTTGATGAAGAGGACCCTAAGGAAAGCCACTCAAAGGTCACATTTTTCAGCTACTTTTACCTAGCTCTGAACCTTGGTTCCCTCTTCTCCAACACCATATTGGGGTACTTTGAGGATGAAGGTATGTGGGCACTTGGGTTCTGGGCGTCTACAGCTTCTGCTCTTGCAGCATTGGTTCTGTTTCTTGCGGGAACCACTAGGTACAGGCGGTTCAAGGCCTCTGGCAATCCACTCTCCAGGTTCTCTCAAGTCATTGTAGCTGCAACGAAGAAGTGGAGGGTAGATGCGCCACCAGAGGCAGACCTGTATGATGGGGACAGAGAAGACTGTTCCATCAATGGTAGTAGAAAGATACTCCACACGGATGAATTCAAGTAAGTACTAGACTTGGGAAATCGGAAATATTACGGGTTATACTAATGCGCACCTTCTAACTGTTTAATTGGTACTTTACAGTTTTTTGGACAAAGCAGCTTATGTAACGACGGTTGAATTGAATGACCAGAAGCAGGGCATGCGCAACCCCTGGCGTCTTTGCCCCGTTACACAAGTGGAAGAAGTTAAGTGCATACTGAGACTACTCCCTATTTGGCTCTGCACCATCGTTTACTCAGTGGTCTACACACAAATGGCCTCCATCTTCGTAGAGCAAGGCGCTGCCATGAAAACAACCATCTCAAAGTTTCGGATACCGGCTGCAAGCATGTCCGCTTTCGACATCCTCAGCGTGGCACTCTTCATATTTCTTTACAGGAGAGTTCTTGATCCAGTTGTGAGCAGGATAAAAAAAAAGGATACCAAGGGATTTACCGAGCTTCAGAGGATGGGAGTTGGCCTTGTCATTGCAATAATGGCAATGGTTGCGGCTGGAATTGTGGAGTGTTACAGACTGAAATACGCTGACACAAACTGCTTTCACTGTGAAGGCTCAAGCTCCTTGAGCATATTCTGGCAAGTTCCTCAATATGCATTGATAGGAGCATCTGAAGTCTTTATGTATGTCAGTCAGCTGGAATTCTTCAACGCACAAACACCAGACGGGTTAAAGAGCTTTGGGAGCGCACTCTGCATGACATCAATCTCACTGGGAAACTATGTCAGTGACTTGCTAGTAAGTATGGTAATGAAGATATCTACCGTAGATCACATGCCAGGATGGATCCCAGGCAATCTCAATAAGGGTCACCTGGATAGGTTCTACTTCCTTTTGGCTGGGTTAACAATAATAGACTTAATATTCTATGTGTTATGTGCAAGATGGTATAAGTGTATCAAGCTGGAAGGAAAAGATGCAGGAAAAAATGATCAAGACCAGTATGGAGTCTGATGCATGTACATAGTACGCTCATAGTAAGACCCGCTAAGGCTATTTGAAATAAAAGGAAGGAGTTGGTGAGGAAAACTTTGTTGAGAGTTTCTGTTAAAAGAAAAAAAATGGGTTTTAGGAGAGTAAGGTCGTTTTTGCTCTTAACTCTACCATTCCCATTTTGTAAGAACTAACAGAGTCTGCAACCTTATCAATGCCTTTAGCAATATAATAGCACTTATCACTGCATTATGTTAAGGTTTAAGATTTAAATCAAATGCATTAATTCATACTCATGTGTGTTAACTGCTTGTTTCAAGTGAGAGCTGTATCTGTGATTATAGGAAGAAATGCTTTTTGCAAATAAATGAAAAGATTCCTTCTATGTATTTGTGGTTCTAATTTCGTCTAAAAGAATTTTTTTCTACTCAGACTTGGAAACGCAAATACATGATTGTTAACAAATTAAAATAATACATGGTCTAACTGCTAGCTACTGCTTAGTAAGTTCTATGAGAAAAGCCTCTTTGCAAGTACAAGATCAAGCCCGCACCTTACGAACTTGGATGTGATGAGTGGATTCTTCCCGCCAGATTGGTTGTGCTCCACTCTGGACCAGTGTAACATGCTCTCCCTCTTTCACCAAATTTTTATCCTGAATTGTAGGAAATTGTTTTAAAAAAATGTTTATCCACATGAAAATGTTGATCCAAGAAGATATAAAGGGTGTGGTCTAATGACTAAAGGATCTGGTCTCCAAGAGGTAATGTGTTTCAATCTCAATGCAGTCACAAGCCATGATCATTAATATCAAACCACTAATCATCTAGCACAATGTGCTCAATCTGATTGTCGTCAGGTTCCTTTAGGTCCCTTCTTCTAAGGTGCTCAAAGACAACAGGAAGGACCCCGCACAAGTTGCCACTTCCTGTCCTTATTTGCTACTTAAAACAAAAACATGCGGCAAAAGGAGATGAATAGTTAGCAGGTAACTAACCAATAGCAGCTTGAGTGCTCGGGAGAAGGTCTCTTCAGCATCATCTGAAAATTGCATATAAATGGGCATCACACCTTGATAAAGTGCCAGCCTCTGCTTAATTCTCTCCCTGCCAAGCACAAAATGTATCTGTCAAATTGGGAACAGAACTATAACATCCTGCAAAAGTAAGTTAATGACCACAGGAGCAGCTAATCTATTAAGATATGAGCCTAACATGGCATGCCGATAAAACAAGTAATAAGGCAGTGCTTGTATATTTTACATAAGGGAGAAGTGCCAGAATGCTGTTAAGAGATTGATTCGCAACTGTACTTTTCCTAAGCTAGGGTTCTTAAACTTTAGCATTATATAATTCATCCAAAGGAAGAACTCTATTGGCAATGTGCCACATGACATTGTATGTGAGGCCATAAAAGCTAAAAATTCATAGTCCAAGTTCTAAGTGGAAAGCATATAGAAAGTGACTCCAAATAATTCAAAAAGAGAAGTCCATGTAATGCTGCTACTGGAACTCACTCATTTGTGAAGGCAAATATAGTTGAGGAAGGACGATAATGACTTAAAAGTATAGCCATTGATCCAGTTCTTGTGAACACAATGATGGGTGTATTGAGGGTGTTAGCCATAGTTGTAGAATGAAAAGCAAACATTTCTCCCATATGGCCCTGAAAAATAATCCTCTCAGGTAGTCAGATTCTGAAAGAGTAATTGCAGAAGGAACTTGACAAGCATTAACAGAACAATCAACACTAAGTAAGTTAATTCTTTTAGCTATATTGAACCCAGCTTCTTAGATGTGTATGGTAACAGTCAACAGCTTGAAATAAACAATTCTTTGATGACCTATTACCTTATAAGTACCAGAATGGACTGGAGGCATCGTGTTAACTGGAAGACTTGATTCAGTCCTCAATGCCACAGTATGCATCACTTTTACAGCTTTTAATGGATACCTTCAGTAATTTAAGGAAGTATTATTTAGCATGGTACATCAACAAAATCAAACCAAATAAGCCACACCTTCCTATTGAGGAGAAACTAGAGGAGAACATCATTCATTCATATTTTGATTAGAACACCAATATTTGAGTAAACAACGTAACACATATAATGCTCTTCCATGACTTTTTCCCATAAGATACCGTGCTTTGAAGTAGGGACAGGTGCCACCAATAATAATATTCAAAAAATTAGCTGGAATTTCTAATGCTATTTTGTTCTATGTTATTAACACAACAAAATCAAAAGGAATAAGAAAGGATTTAAAGCTGCTATACATCAGTGATGCCACCAATATAAATGATGGTAACTCACTTTCCATGCGCAGTTTCTCCAGAAAGCATAATTGCATCAGCACCTTCTCGCACTGCTATTGCAATATCAGAAACTTCTGCCCTTGTGGGTGTAGGATGATTAATCATGCTTTCTAGCATGTTTGTTGCTACAATTACTGGTTTCTGCATACTACGGCACCTTCTAATGATGTCCTCCTGTTAGAGTGACAAGGAGAAGGAATATTATTTTAGACTACTAGAAGAAATATCTCATCTATAAGTGTTATATCTTTTGCTTGATCCTGCTACTAAACAAATGTTCACAACCACTCTTCATCAAATTCAAAATACGACACTATGAGTTTAAGATTATATTCTCACTATCTGACCAAGAGAAGAAATAAAATGCATATCTAACACCAGAAAACAAAAATTACCTGCAATAAGGGGACATCCTCAATTGGAAGTTCAGCTCCAAGGTCCCCACGAGCAACCATTGCCTATTAATATCCAGAAAACAACTTAAATTGCAATTGGAAATTATACAGTAGTAGTTTTACTTCCTTTCTCCTAATAATTGAAGAGAAGCATAATAGTAATAAATAAGAAAATATTGAATCTAACCCCATCAGAAGCAGAAATTATTGACTGGAGATTTGGTATAGAATCAGCACTTTCGATTTTCACAATCACATGAATATCTGCATTGCAGCCTGAAAGAGAGTTTACAATAATTTAGTAATTTCAGTTGAACACAAAAAGTCTGTGTGTGCACAAGACACACAAAATAATCTGAGTAGTGATCACAAAAGAGTTTTACTTTTAAGGTAATCTTTCAACTGATGGACCACCTTAGCATCCTTCACAAAAGAGACGGCATAGAAATCAACTTGGTTGTCCACCCCAAATTTGATATCTTCCCAATCTTTGTCTGTAAACAAGAGACATGCCCTATAAAGTGTTAAGCACTAAATGCTAATAAATGAAGAAAAAACACCAATACTAAGAAATACACAGCAATATGGTAATATTTGATGCAGAATATAACCTGTTATTGATGGCAAAGTTGCACTTTTTCCACGTACATTTAAATGACGCCTTGATTTTAACTCTCCACCATCAACAACTACACATTTAACCAAATCTTTTGTCTTTGACTTCACAGCTAATGACATCATTCCACCTGGCACAAATACAGCCCATTAAGCCCCAGCAAAATGCAAGCAAGGATTCAGAGAAAAATTTTTCTAGATGAGTGAACCATTAAGAAAGCTCCTTCACATAAAAAGTCATTCCTTACTGCTTAATAAAGATGAACATATTCATGGAAATTAAATTATAGACATAACATTTTTGCAGGTTGCTGCATGTCACAGATTAGATACTTTAAATACAGGACCAGAAAGCCAAAATATAAAGTATTGATCGCCATCTACAAATTCAATGAAAAATATTGGTCCAGAATTAGGAAAAGAAATCCAAGAGAAAGTAAAGCAGAACAATTTTCCTTGTGTACAACATATTTGACAGTCAACATTAATGCAGTTTAGTTTCAGACTGAATACCACTAAGCCTTTGGTAGCTGCTTGAGCAAGCCTTTTGAAAAGCTACATACTCTTAATGAAGTAGAATAGTTAATTTGAATGCAAATTTTGCAAGGAGAGTGAATAAACAGTGAATTCAGAAAAAGTGTGTAGTCTCGTGTGTGTCCGTCTGTAACAAATACAAATCTCTTCATGTATGTTTATGTATATATTCTGTATTAGTGTAAATTGTATGAGATGTGTATTTATAAATACAAAAGTAGGTACGATTCCATTTCACAACAACAGCATAATGAAACTGCAAGCACTTGGAGACATGATTGATTCTCACAAAGGACAAAGGAACCAACTCAATACACTGTCAAACTAATGCACCAATATAAGAGCAGCTAACAAAATCCATTCTTACCATCCACAAGTAATATATCGCCAACCTCCACATCATTTATGAAGTCGTCATAATTTACACTGACAGTATCTTTTGTGCAGACCCCTCTTCTAATAGTAAAATTAAACTCTTGTCCCTCCTTAAGCACAATTGGCCTAGGTACATCTCCACTTCTAACCTCAGGACCCTACATACACAAGAAAGCAATGTGCCAATTGATGCAGGAAGCCAAAAGAGTCAAGAAAAATAACAATATGCCCTGAGAGAAAGACACTAATTGGACAGAATCAAGAAATGGCAGGCCTAAAATGCTCTTGTTGCACATAAAATTTATCTTTTTTAAAATTTAACTTAACAATTTCTGCCACCTCGAGGGTGTTATGGAGGAAAAAGAGTGTATACCTTGGTATCCAGCATTATGGCTATAACTTTGTCGTCGAATTGAGCATTGTATTCTTTAACAAGATTAATGGTTTGCTGGTGCGAGGCATGGTCTCCGTGCGACATGTTCAACCGCGCCACATTCATTCCAGCCTCCGCCAACTTCCATATCATCTCACGCGAGCTCGTTGACGGACCAATCGTACAAACTATCTTCGTTTTCCTCCGATCACATACCTTCCCCTGCCCCAAAGCTTCGCTACTCAAAAGGTCAGCCGGAGAGCTCGCCTCCTCCTCCTAAAACCATCAAAAAATTTTCAAGTCACCAAAGTCCTTGAACACACACAAAGCGAAGAAAACAAAAATAGAAAGATCCAATTGCTCGTGAAAACTACCAAACATAGCAACAGAACTCACGATGGTGCCTATTTGGTTGTCTTGAGTTTCAGCGATCCTGACGGATCTAACCGCAAAAGCTAGCGGTTTTCGCAGAGCGAAACTTCGTCTGGTCCTCCAGATTCCAGAATCAAACAGAGAGCAACCGGCGAAGCTCCGAAACGGCGACAAATTTGCAGAGGTGTCAGATTTGAGAAGACACATTCTCGCGGCAACATCATGACTACTGACAGTCTCCATTGAAAGCAGCAGGGAAAAAGTCGGATTTTGCAGCGAAGCAGAAGGGAGAACGCCTGGAGATGAGCAGAAGCGGTCGAGAGCGGAGATAATTTTGCGGAGATTTTTTTTGAGGAAAGCGAAGGTGGGAGAGTTGCCTTTATGATTTCAGCAGGCCAATTGGCCAAACACGGGGACATTGGTTCTGGAAAGTTGGACTTGTCCTCCGCTGCTTCATGCGTCTTTCACCCGCGCCTATTGCGTGTTCAATGTACGCTCTCCATTAAGATTTTTTTTTTTTTTAAGAAAAGCTTCCCGTTACCTTTGATGTATTGAAATTGATTTGTAATGTTACATAGATTTTAGATATGGAAATGATTTTGAGGTATTTTTTTGTATTATTTTTTTATAATTTAATGTGTTATTTAAATGATTAATTTTTTTAATTTATAAGTATGATATTGAATACATTTACTCATTTAATAATATATAAAAATTATATCAAAAATTATTCTCATAACATCACCTTTTAGATAAAAATATGCACATTGGCCTCATCATTTGATAATTATACGTTTAATTGTAAGATACACTCCTAATCTTGAACTTGCAGTTTAAATCTCTCTTCTCCAAAATTGTAATATGTTTTTTTATAAAGATAAATGTATGATTTTATGATAAACAATAAGTGTATAATTTTTAAAATTTTATTTAGTATAGTTGTGATTTTAAATTTTTTATTTTTTATTTTTAAAATTTAAATAATTGATAATTAAAATTATTAATTTATTAAATATAAAATTTTTAAACATATACTTAAAACTCTAAATTTAATTAATTTATAAAATTACTTAATTTTGTTCTAAAATTTAAAATTTAAAATTATAACTATATTAAACAAAATATGAACAAAAAAACATTTATAATTATTGAGTTGCACGCTCTATGGAAGTGAGTGGAAATTAGATCAAAATCTCTAGGGCATAATACATCACTGTTAGAGATCTTTTCTTCCGCATCGTAGCTGCAATTATTTGTAGCCGTGGACGAATGGCAGAGGTGGATGAGGAGGTGGAGACAACTTGTCGATGGACTGTCGCATTTTGAGAGATATAAATGGATTTGTGAATGAGATCATAAACAAAAAGGAGTGGATAGTTGAATTTGTGACGGACTTATCAATCAATGGATGGATTTTTGGACAGATATATAGTATATACAAATTTATGAACAAACAGCATTGTATGAACAGATGGACGAGGCCAAACTTATTGACAAATATAAATAGATCTATGGACAAATTTATGTTATGGACAAATGGATGATTTTGTGGATGATCAGAGGTACAAATGAATTTATGGATAGACGTATTATTTATGGACTAATGGATGGATTTTTGGACGAACAATAGATTTATAAACGAATTTATGAATAAAAAAAATAATATAGATGATTCAATATTTACATACAAATATGAATGAATTTATTAATAAATAAATGAATTTGTAGATGAATTGAGAAACAAATTTATAAATAAGAACAGATGGTTACAAATGATTATGCATGGATTGACGGAAATGGAAGAAGTAGCTAGATTTATGGACTAATCAACTAATTCATAGAAGAAAAAATATGTATAAATTTATGGATGAATTTATAAAAATTCATGAAAGAACAAATGAAGTTGCTTAATTTATAGACAAACAAATTTATAGATAAATGGATTCATAAACAAATTTATAAATAAAAACCAATGGATTTCTAGACAAGTAATTAGAAACATTTATAGAGAGATGATTTATAAAAAAATTTATTTGTCTAATTGTTTCGCACATAATGGTCCATTCTACAATTTCCAACAATCTATGTCGCCAAATTCATCTCCATAAATCTATTTCGTCCATAATACGGTAATATGTATAATGAAAATTAATTTACCATGTTAACTAAATTTTATATTTATATACACACAAAACCTTAATTTATAATTCATGTGATTATTATATAAGTATTTAATCAATATCATTAGAGGTTAAATCCCCTTATTCTCCATTTCTCCTCTCTTTCCCCAAATTTCCCTAATACAAATAAATAAATAAATGTAAAAAAACAAAAACTTTAAATCAATGTGTGATTTTGTGATAAAAAAATTTCATGTATGATTTTCGAACAAAAACATTTGTAATTAGTGAGATGAACGCGCCAGAGAGGCGAGTGGACATTGGAACAAAATTGATGGGGGCGTAACATGACACCGTTGGCCAACCGAAAGATCTTTTCTCTACATCAAATACAAACCACCGCCTCTTAATCCAACGGCTCAGATTCCACAGAAAAAAAAAAAAAAAAAACCATCCCATTCCCGCTTCGAAATCTGACCCACATGTGCTCTGTTCTGTATCCATCCCAGAAGGCAGCACCAGGTCGCATAGACGTGGATATTCCGTAGTATAATCAGGAACAAAACAAGCAAATCGGTAGAATCCACAAAGAATTGGATCAAGTGGTAAACGACTTGCTCTAATTTAAGTAAAGTTTCGAGTTTGACATCTTGTGTACGCAACAGCCTTCGTTGGGAGACCTATTCACCATTCTGGTGCGCCACAGCTGGTCGAGTCCGAAATAATCGGGACGAAACCCCAAATAACCGGAGGAAAACTAAAAAAAAAAAAAAAAATTGGTAGAATCCGACTCCAGCGATATTAGATTTTTATCATGACTGTTCAGTTCCTGTGAATTGTATGTTGAGTTCGATAAAAATTCTTTTTTCTATCCCTCAATTAAGTTTAGGGGGAATAATAATTTTCACATAAAAGGGAAAAAAAAGAAGAAGCAATTGCATAGTACATTTTGCATGGTAGACAAGGGGTGTGCAGAAGTTATAGTTAATGACTTAAGTTTGACCAGATTTTAGGGTTTAAAAAAAAAAAAACTGAAAATCAAATTAAAACATCTCAAATTATTTAAATTTTGATTGTTAAGTATAAAAATAAAAAAATCAATAATCAGCATATGTATAATTAAAAAAACCAACCCAACATTTTTTATATAATTTCTTTATTAATTGTTTTAAGTTTTCTCTCAACTTTCTACTAAATTATTTATTTACTTTAGTAATTTTAACTTTTTAATTAAATCTAAGATCCATTCAAGTAGTTACTTTCAAAAAAGTAACCTAAATTGATAAAACCTGAGTTTTTTAATTTAGTTAATAGTTTTTAAAATACAATAATTAATAAATAAAATTCTAAACTACAACCGTACTAAACAAAATTTTAATTAGCCAATTATTTAATGAACCAAAATGTACGTATTTTAAGATTCATTATGTACAATGTGTAAATGTACGTAGATACATGCCATGCCTAAAATATATGGTATCAATATACCTACATGTATATCATGTATATGTACATTATACATAGGGCATTTGAAAATGAACATCCTTTTCTATAGTTAAAAGTGGGGTTAAATCAATTGCAGGAAGAATCATGATCGCTAGCATTTATGGCAGACGTTATACTAAGTTCTTTGAAGTTTAAAAAGTAGAAGAAACAACTTGAAGTTCAATAGCTATACATCACCCACCATGGGTAAATAGAAGTCATAAAAGAGTAACCAAGGAAATTTCATAAAATTAAAACCTAGAACTGGTTCATAAAAGAGTAGGGACCATAACATGGGGCGC